ACACATGCAAACCTTCCCTTCTTATAAATGACAATGTTCTCTGATGGTACAAGGAATACCTGGAAATGAGTCTGGCAACCTTGGTGTTAAGGATGGTGTTTCTCAAAGTACAGCACAAAGTAAGGACTCCAGTAGAAAAATCTGGAGTTTTATTGAAAACACAGATTCCTGGGCCCATCGTAGACCCACTAAATGAGAATCTCCAGGAATAGGCATCATTTTTAGCATGCTCCTCAGTGGTTCTTAGATACACTTAAGTTTCAGACTCTTTGGCTACACCTCTGACTCACACTCCAGATGGGAGAACTGGGGAGGGGATGGATGAAGCTCTGAATGCTTTTTCTCTTCCTCATGGTCCCAATGCCAGTTTTTTTCCCCAGACTCCAAGAGAAGAACTGGACTCATTTATTTTTTCCAAAGTCATGGTTTCAAAAGGCTTATTTTCAGTACCCTAACTTTCTTTTTCTTCCCACTGTCTTCTTGAAGCTGAATCTTGAGATTCCCAAGAAATGCACAAAACACCCACCACAACGCAGGAAGACAACTTTAGAACCTCTTATTGTGTATAATGTGTGTTTTAATATAACTTTTAAAATTTTAATCTTGTGTATTATACTCATTAGTTTAGTGGTTCATGTATTTAATTTATAAAAAATAGAAATACATCTATTTGGGAGTTTTACTGATAGAGGTCCACAGTCGATAAAGTAGGAAGAACATCACTCTAGAATCAAGATACTACCTATTCTTTGGGGTCAGGCACTATATATTCTCTTTAACAAACTGCCTTGAAGCATAGCACATCCATACAGAAAAGTGCACGAGGTAAATGTACCCTCTGGAGAATCACCCTGTGAAACTAGCACCCAGATCAAAAACTGGATATTATCAGCATCCCAGGTCCACCCCCCACCCCATGCCCTCACTACTCCTCCCTCAAATAGCGACTCTCTTGACTTTGAGGAATTTCACAGAAACAGAACCACGCTATATGTACCCTTTAGTGTTTGGTTTCTTTCGTTTAACATTACATCTGTGGGATTCACTTACATGGAGCAATAGTTTGTTCGTTCTCAAAGTGTAAAGCTTTCCATTGTGTAAATCTGTCATCATTTATCCACTCTGCTGTGGTGAACACTGGGCTGTAATCGGTTTGGGGCTATTATGAACAGGGCTGCTGTATGCACTGTGTATGCCCTTTGGTGAACATATGAACACATCTCAGGCGGCTCTGTACCTAGGAGGGGAATGGATGATTCAGAAAAGATGCTCCATACAGCTTTGCCAAGCACCACAATCACAAGGGGCTCCTCTCAGCGAGCACGCCAGGTGCCCCACGGCCTCACAATGCCTGCTATTTTCTAGTTTGTTTTTATATTTACCTGGTAAGTGTATATTGTTACCACCTTATGATTTTGATTTGCTTTTCTTGACGATTAACGAGGTGGAGCACCTTCTAATGTGATTGGCCATTTGGATATTTTCTTTTATGTGATGCCTGTTCAAGTCTTCTGCCCTTTTTTCTATGGTGCCATCCATCTTTTTCTTACAGATCCATAGGAATTCTTTATATATGCTCCATACTTTTATAGCATGTGCTTAATAGCTTGTTGCTGAATGAACTCATATGCATGGATGGGGGAAAGCACCCTTGTTGAATAAATGAGGCCTTTATATGTTTTTGTTTATTTTTTGGTTCATGCTCGCAGCTTCTTTGAAGTATACTGTACATATCCCCAAATTTACTTGTTTTAAGTGTACAATTCAGTGATTTTCAGAGCTGGGCAACCATACTGCAGTCCAATTTTAGAACACTGTTATCATCCCCAGAAGAAACTTCCTGCCCCTTTGCATACTTTCTATTCCCACTTCTAGCCCCAGGCAACTGCTTATCTGCTTACTGTTTCTATAGATTTGCCCTTTCTGGACATTTTCTATAAATGCAATCATACGATATGTAGCCTTTTGTGTCTGGCTTCTCCGGCATCGTATGATGTCTTTGAGGTTCATCCGTGGTGTAGATATATCAGTGCTCTATTCTTTTTTTGTGGCAGAGGGAATAGTCCATTGTCTGGGTAGACCACACCTTCTCTATCAGCTGATGGGCACTGGGATCATTTCCGCTTTTTGGCTCTTAGAAATAGTGCTGCTATGGATGGTCACTGCAAGTTTTTGTGTGGCCGTTTGTTTTCATTTCTCTTGGGTAGATACCTAGGAGTATTGCTGGGTCACATGGCAAGTTTATGTTTAACTTTTTAAGAAACTGAAACCCTTATATTTCTCTGCCATCCGTAGGCTGCTGATGGAAAGGCACATGAGGCTGTTTTGAGTAGAAAAGAATGATCTGCCAGCACATAGCTATCAAACGCGCAGTGTCGAGAAAAAGCTAAGAAAGAGGGACTAAAGCCTGCTCTTACGAGTTTACAGTCTAATCCAGATGTTCTAACACATGTGTTTATGGAGTAACTCAGCAATTTGGGAAATCTGAATATGAACAAAGGTCCAAACAATCTGTGCAGAACGAATCTGGGAAGCAGTGAATGCCTACTTTTTGCCAGACTCAATGTTAGGCTTTAAGAGGGATGGATGGAAATTTAAAGCAAACATGTTTTCCCTCCCCCAACTCCTCCACCCAGTTACTAAGCATCTAATCAGTAAAACAAGAGTTATCAAAGAAGTTAACAATTTAAAGATTCAAATACAAGTTCAAGATAATAATAGAAAATGGGGGGTTGGGGCAGGGGAGGAAGGCAAGGAGGAAAACAGATAAGGGAGGAACTCATCCTTCCTTCAAGATCTGGTGAGAAAATAGAAACCCAGAGTATGTTCCTTTAAAATTTTTGACATTCCAAAGATGTAAGGGTTTCCCCTCCTATTATTGTCCTGGAAATCTAAGTTCAAAAAGAAATGTTGGATAATAAATAACCAGGACCATTGGACTAGATCGATAGATAAAAATGACCACCCTAATATTTGAGTACTTAATGTGCCAGATATTGCTCCAAACAGTTAAGGTTTTTACTCATTTAATCCTCTTAATACCTCTACGATAGAAATACTACTATCATCTTCTAATGATGAGGAAAATGAGGCTCAGAGAGGTTAAGTAAGTTGCACAAGGGCCCACAGCTAGAAAATGGCAGAACTGAGGTTTGGATACAGGGAGACCAGAGCCTATACATTTTTTTTTTTAAACGGAGGGACTGGGGATTGAACCTAAGATCTCGTACATGCTAAACACGCACTCTACCACTGAGTTATGCCCTCCCCCCAAGGGCTTACATATTGAACCATCTCAAGTCCCATAGTCCAGCTGGTAAACTCAGCCTCCAGTCACAGGTGGGGAAATAGACCCAGAGGTGTCTGGATTTGTCTGAGGTCACTTGATTGATAAGAGATCAGGGACAGGAGTTCCACTGATGCTGGTGCAGTCTTACTTCTATCAAGACTGATGACAGCCCTTTCTTCAGATGCTATTTGTGGATGAGCCAAAAGGATACACAGGTTTCTGACTATGGTAGCATGGACTAGAAGAAGCAGTGCTTGATGTACAACAAGCCAGACCTGACCTCTGCTGTTGACTGGCCATATATATTATGGTGGGCAAGTCATACCCTCTGAGCCCAGTTTTTCTGCTTGTAAACGGGGGGCAATAACCACACCAGCTCATAGGATTACAGGAATGAAATGAAAGAATTGAAGAGGTTGACAGCCATGCTCACTTTTGGTGCTGTAGAACTGTTTGGGGAGGGTCATTTGGAACTGAAGTGTATGGGATGCTGTGTAGGCTGAGATGTCTCAAGTCCAAACTGAATCGCAGTTTGCTGATCGGCACCCAGGAGGATTTTGGGTTGCAGGAAGGCTCTGGACCAGCTGTCCTAATTTGAACTGGGCCATATCATCAGATACGAAACCTGAGATTAGCCTGTTGACAGTCACACGTGGCCCAGATGCAGGGCATTCCAGTCCCTTTAACACTTGATTGAGGGGAGGGTATAGCTCAGTGGTCAAGTGCTTGCTTAGCATGCACAAGGTCCTGGGTTCAATCCCCAATACCTCCACTTAGATAAACCAACCTAATTACCTCCCCCCAAAAACAAAAATAAAATTATTTTTTAGAAGACTTGATTAGGTCAGTTACTTTTCGTGACTGTTTTCTATATCAAATTTCGCAGCTCTGCTTTAAGGGACTCTCAGTGGTGACAGTGGTCAAGAGTTGGTTTCCCTTTGATTGTAGAGAAGGAAGGGTTTGTGAGTTTGCAATTGATGGAGTATTATAAACAACCTGCCTTTGTCAACTTGCCTATTGCCAGAGGCCAGGCTGAGGCTGCCTAGGAGAGATGACTTAAATGCAGAATGTGTCTCAACAGGGATTCTCAGAGCTAGGGTGGGCCTGGGGATAAGCATTTAAAAAGTTACTCAGGTGATTCTAATGAGAACCACCAATTCAAAGCATGGAAAGATGTGAGAGGTCTTAAGGCTCCGGCAGCCCAGCCAGATTGGTTTTGTAAAGTGTATCCAGGAAAGCACAGTGAGAGATGAGGCTGGGGGAGGGCCTGAAATGCACAGGCTGAGAAGTCAGTATTCAATGTAAAGGGCAATAGGGAGCCATGGAAGGTTACAGAGCAGGATGTAAGGATAGGCATTTAGAAGTATACAGAGAAATTAGAGTCCAGCTATTTACAGTTTAGGAAGTGGAATTTAAGTTTTCCTATAGAGTAGGCTAACAAAGAAAGCTGTCTTTTACTTCTATATCCTCAGTTTAAGGTCAGCTTCCTTCAGCACCTAGGTCCACTGCTCCCTGCATAGCAGGAGCTTGTCCAAATGAATTTTGCAGTTATCTGGCACATTGTGTGGAAGGTGGCAGCCTCCCACTAATGCTTGTTGACTGAGTAAACGAATGTAGACTCCTCAGCCTGGCCCATCTCTATTTCAAGAGGTCTGGCACCCAGGGCCAGCCTCCTCTTCGCATGCAATATCATGAGGGCTGTTTCTCTCACCTTCCCGCTCTTCTCCTTTGATGCCCATCGACCTGCTTCCAATTCTACCAACTCGGGCTCCGACTCCGTCGCCTCCCCGCTCTGTCCCTCCGGTGTAACACGCTGCCACCCGGCTTCCCGGCTGAGGCGCCTGGCTTCAAACCTGTCTTTCACCCATTGTCCAGTTTCCGGTGAGTCAAGTATAACCCCAGGTTCAACTCCTATAGTGACGGCCACAAACACATTCCCTCACAGGCACCTCAGAGGAGCCGCCCGCCCGCCACGGGCCACCAGGCCAACAAAACAGGCAGAGACGGGCGTTTCTATTCCCGCGGCTCTCGGTGGCGGTGGGGTTGTGAGCCGGGAGACCCCTCCCCAGTGACCAGCCCCCTTTGCGACGGAGCGCCCGGCCCTCAGCGGGCGT